AGAGATATTGTTTACAAGTGAGCACCATGGTTAGTAGATGGTAGATCGAGAAATTTTCTGGTAACAACGACTTCGGGTTGTGGAAAATTAAGATGCAAGCAATTTTAATTCAAGATATGTTTATTGATGCTTTGAAGAATGAAGCATCGATGCCTTCAGGGCTTACACAGGTACAGAAGGCAGAGATGGTGGATAAGGCCAGGATTGCCATTATCTTGTGCCTCGGGGATAAAGTTCTAAGAGAAGTCGCTAGGGAGCAAACTACGATTGCTATGTGGGAAAAACTTGAATCATTGTATATGAAAAAGTCTTTGGCTCACAGGTTGTATCTGAAACAACAACTCTATTCATTCTGAATGGTGGAGAACAAATCCATAGTTGAGCAACTCATAGAATTTCACAAGATTATTAATGATCTTTAGAATATTGAAGTGAAGATTGATGATGAGAACAATGATTTTCTCCTGTTGAGTTTATTACCTAGATCCTTTGAGCACTTTAAGGATACCCTTCTTTATGGTAACGAAGGTACTATTACTTTGGATGAAGTCCAGACGGCGGTGAAATCCAAAGAATTTTCAAAGTCGAAAAATTTGAAGATTGAAGATAGTGGTGAAGGCTTAAATGTGTCAATAGGAGGAGGTGAGCGTAAAGGGATGTCCAAATCAAAGAGGTATGACATGTCAAAGGTAAAATGTTTTAATTGTCAGAAAATCGATCACTTTAAAAGGGATTGTCCTGAAAGAAAGGTCAATAAAGATTCTGTTCAAGCTGTAGTTGCATTGAGTGAGTAAATTTATGAGGATGCCGAAACACTAGTAGTATCGAGTTTGAAAACTGAAGATAGTTGGGTCATTGACTCGGATTGCTCTTATAACATGTGTCCAAAAATATAATACTTTCAAGGTTTGAAGATGGTGCAAGGTGGAGTAATTCGCCTTGGTAATAATAAGGCATGCAAGGTTCATGGTATTGGTACGGTCAGATTTAAAATGTTTAATGATCGTGAACTTCTTATTCACAATGTGAGGTATATTCCAGAACTCAAGCGAAATTTGTTATCTATAAGTATGTTTGATGATCTAGGTTATTGTACTAGAGTTTAACGTGGAGTGTTGAAGATTTTGCGTGATGAATTGATTATTGTTAAAGGGTCTAAAATATGTGGTCTACATATTTTAGAAGGTTCAAATGTTATTATTCATTCATCGTTAACTAGTGGAGGCTTTCATGACAAGGAAGAACTATGGGATTTAAGTTTAAGGCGTTATGAATGCCTTGAGAAAGTTTCAAAGGAGTACAATGAATTTTGCATAAATCAAGGGATAAAAATGCATGTTACCACTGAGTTGTTATTGAGTTTTTTGGGAAGAGCCGAGGTTAAAACAACTTACTTGGTTGGTAGAGAATTTCTTCAGAAGAAGAATAGTGAAAACCAAGGGAGAAACCTGAGAGAAACTATAACGGAGAAAACTCAGTTTGAGGTGGAGTTTCCTACTATGGATGCTAGCAGTAGTGAGGGAACGGTTACAGAGATCTCTGATTAACATTTGACTCATGATAAGGTAAAGAGGGTTATTGTAGCATCTCAAAGGGACGGTTATGCTAGCCTTGGATATTATGTTTTTAATGTGGCTGAAAGACTGCAAAATAAAAGAAGAAAAACCTTCAGGGATGCATTTGAAAACAGGTAGACTCAAGGGTGGTTGAAAAATCATACTTGTAGGTTTGTTAAATTACCTAGGCAGAAAAGGATAATTGAGAAACAAGTGTATTCAAGTTGCGAGATCAAGATTCAAGAGTTGCTTGAATTTAATTAAAGTTATTGATTAAAGTTTCAACTTGGTAGAGAGCAACAATGTTGTTGATTGGTATCAACACAGTTTAAAGTCAATGTGAAGATTGTTGTAAATGTGCCTTAAAACTTTGTTGATGAAGAGAAAGAAAACATATTTTGGAGATTGCATTTATCGCGAAAATCAAAAGTTTTAGAAATTCGAACGAAAATTCGAGAAAAAAATCGATCGGTGAATAGTGTTATTCGTACTGGTGAATAGTGACGTCCGTACTGTGAATAATATTGTCCGTACAGTGAATATTGTTTTTGAGTTTTCGGACTTTTTCGATTCGATCTATGGATCCATGTGATTTTGTGCTTTATTTGTTGGGCATTTACTATTATAAATATGTATCTCTTATATGCTTGGTGTGTGTCAATCTTAGAGTTTACACTAACAAGGGAGAGCAAGGGTTTAACGGCATATCATAGGATTTCAGCTATGCACAAAGAAAATCTTGGATTACACCTTGGGTTTGAGTGATTCATATATTGAGAGTTGGAGAGGTAGGGAAACACTTGTAATCTCTTGTAACTCATCTGTAATCTCTTGTAAAAACTTTCTGAGTATAGTGAATTGGAGAGTTGCTATCTTCCCCAAAGTAGATCGTTTGATCGAACAGGGTAAATAAACCTTCGATTTTTTCTTACCTTATTCTGTTATATTATATGTGTACCGATTATTATTGTTGCAGACCATTTATTTTGGTTTATATTCTTCTTTGCCTCACAAATTGATATTGAATTTTGTCGTAATTCACAACAGATTCTATATCACTAACATTTTCAAAATTATCTGGATCAACGCGTTGATGAATTATAAAGAGATTTTTATAATTTTTCTTCTTCAATTCTTTGTATGCAGCCTTTTCTTGATCCGTCGCGTTTTCTGCAAGCGGTTTTACTCCTTCCTTCACAAGATTCCAAAGATCTTGATAACAGAAAACAACCTTCATTTGCATTCTCATAATTATTGTTCTTGAGAATCAGAAGATTCGCCGAAAAATGCCTGTTTAGATGATTCATCTCCATCGTGATTTCTTCCCACGAATCACTCAGTCAGTGCTATAGATACCAGATGTTGAAATTAACCAAAATTTTGAGTAATTCTGAATCAATCTTGATGAACAAGATTCAATCAACCTCATCGAAATCCTTTGTTCTTCACCCTTCACTTGAGTGAATCAATTACACTTTTGATTGCAAGAATGATTTTGCACAAAAATTGATAATGAAAGAAAAAAAGAAAGAATACTGAATAAGAAAGAAAATTAGGATTTGACAAAATAAGATAAGAGGAGATAATTTCTGCAGAGTAACTCTACACTCAAGTTGAAAAAATATTATTCAACTGTGCAACTGCACTTTCGGTTGAATGTTACAATATTATTCTCTATTCTTCTTATTCAAAATAGAGGTTACTCTTACTCAAAATAGAGGTTACTGTCTCTATTTACAATTGAGCTACCTTGCTTCTTACTCAAAATAGAGGTTACTCTTACTCAAAATAGAGGTTACTCCCTCTATTTACAATTACAATTGAGCTACGTTGCTCCCTAAGATAAAACCTAAAATTACAAAAGTCCAAAATTTTTATTTTGATCTAAGTTGAAATCTTTGTCAAAAAAATATGTTTCGACATCTAACACAACCCGACACACATTAGACTAACTTTGACATATCCTTATTTCTGTCAAACTGCACCTGCTTCGAGAAAAGAAATTACATTTTCAAACAAATTGGGGATTGAAAGGTTCAATCTTGAGAAGAGGAATAGGATCTTGGATTAAATCAATCTTGGAGCGAGATTATTCATAATTGACAACTATGATACACTAGTATCCAAGTTTTGTAGGTCAAGTGAAACAATAACTATTTAATAAAACACGACTTGATTGTTGAATAATTCATTACCACATAAATACAAAACAAAATAAGGGTAATGCTAGACACTATTTTTCTTGTATTACATTCATTTCTCTTGCTTTAAAAACTACAATATCCTTAATATATTTTCCATGTTTAAATTTTTATACACAAATTGTCCCTGCTGTTGTTCATTAAACAAATATCCCCGCCCATGAATCGTGACACACATTAAATAACCACTTTATACGTGTAAAATAACAAGAAATCAGTTTAGTTTCTTAAACGTATATTGCATATTGGATTGAAATTACTTGAAAATTCAATAAAACAATTTTCACATTTTTATAAAGGTATATAATTTTATCTATACTCAATAGAGTAACATTTAATAATTAATTTAATGAATTATTCAACTGATTAAGTATTCAACGGTTTTCAAATGTCATAAATCGTTCTTGTGTAACTTGACCTGCAAAACTTGAAATTTATATATTTCTCTTACCACCCCTCAACACTAGTTACTAACTCTATTACTCTGGTAATGAGATTTTTATAAACAAAATATTCAATGTAAAAGTTCTATTAGTTGAAATAGTAATAAACCATTGTACAAACGCATTTGGTAACTTCATCCCATTTGCTCCGATTTTCATCATCATAAATTCACATATCATTGCTCCTCTCCCTTTTTTTTAAAACACCACCTGAACAATTGTTCAAAGGTGAGAGAGCAAGCTTCAAATCCTAGCTCCCTTGAGAATACTAAGCACCAAACTAGGCTACAAATCACATTGGAGAAACAGATTCTACGTAAATACCCCCAAATCATAGGAGAATGGAATGGTTTACAATATTTGTTCTTCAGGGACCTCAGTGAAAGAAAAAAGTGGCAAGATAAATAAAATTCCCCACTGCACCCTGATACATATCCACTTTTGGTTCTTGGTTCTTTGTTGGTACAACATACCCGTTGCGGTGACAAAAGAAGCAATGAACATCCTTAGTTAGTTTCATGTGTTCCAGCAGGTTTGCAAACTTAGCTGACTAGAAGAGTGAAAGATGCATCCTCTAGATTTGACGGTCAAGATGAAAATCCTAAAGAATACTCCTGATAAGGTCAAAAGACTATCTGAAGCACTCCCTTGACAAGGCTAACCCTGGACCAAACTCTCTGAGATACCAAGAAACCCTGTATAATGAAATTCCAAGCTCTCTGAGATACCAAGAAACCCTGTATAATGAAATTCCAAGCTCTCTGAGATACCAAGAAACCCTGTATAATGAAATTCCAAGCTCATAATGCCTCCTTCAGATGGAAGGTTCTGGCCATGTTCCTGGCATGATCATATTCATCCAGGTCCACAAGTATTTTTTTCAATCGACGGGCTAGATCATTCTCTGGCATATTTCTTCTCTCCAGAATCCTTCCAAGTGACAGCACATAAGCCACCAGAGGCTGCAATTTGCGGCTGCAATTTAAGAATAGAATAGGACATGGAAAGTATTAGATTTGACCAAAATTATATTGACACACACGTAGAGCTTTTATTTTACTCCACACACATGAAGAGCTAGAACTATTATTGTACTGTAGATAATAATGTCACTCACACATGTATTAGAGATCCTACTTGAGTTAAGCAACTTCATCACCACATAAACAAATTAATTAGGAAGAAGTTTAATTTAAACCTACGACCTCTACTCTAATCCTACTAACCCCAATGCAGCTGCCAGGTAGGCACTTAATGAATACCCAAGTTGCTTGTACAATATCCCTATTTTCCCCCAAGTTAATTTTGTTATGCTAACTTACAGTCACGTGATTAAGAAGGGTATCAAGAAAAAGAATATGCAAATGTCTTTCCAAAAGAAATATATGCAATCACTACAAATTTCACAACTTTGAAAAAGTACTATCAACATACTTTCTGTCTGCAGTGACACTTGGGCCAGCCCAAACACCAGATAGGGAAGCAATAATCCGTTCTGTTCTTGTTATTGCATCTTGAACATTTTCTGATATGCTTCTACAATGAGGTAGAACTTTTGCGTATAAAAGCTCATCTAGAGCAAGCTTCTCTAACACTGGCATTGCAAATATGTCCTTCCACAAGCAAATATTTCTCAATAATCGAACAGACACACCAAATCGATATGCTGCAACTTGTGCAGCGTCTGGAACAGCAGCTAGCACTAGTGGACTCCATGTAGGGACCTACAAACAAGACAAGATGGAAATTTCATCATGAAATGCTTCATTGTTTCTAGTTACTAGTTTCTACAAACCCAGTATATCATATACAAATCACAATGCAAAACAACAGGAAATGAACAAAAGAAATACCATATACTGTCTGTCTAACTAATAAATAGAGCTTACCGTAAGACTAGTAACAGCGTCAGCTAGACGGGTACGAATCAAAACCAGAAGTTCTGCAAGAGCTTCACTTTCATGGGACACATGTTGCACAATCAATTTTGTAGCAGCAATAGCATTCATTGTTTCGTGTTGACTAAGCATGTCCCAGCAATGGGAAACTTCATAATGGAGAATAGGAAGTGCAACCTTTTCTACCAAATTTGGAACAAGCTCAAGGTCAGCATCTCCATCATCGTGAACAAAACTTTTTCCATCTTCAGGCAAACCGTAAGTGAATAACAATTTATACCTAAATATGAAGAGGTAGAGTAAGAGAAATACTCTATTATAAATTGAAGGTAAGTAAAAGATAACCGCGTGAAGTGTAATGAAAAGGTTAAGAAAAAGAAGCCCGTGAGCCAAAATAATCTCCTAAGATTCAAGAAAGAATACTAAAAATGGAAAATATAGAATAGGTCAATACCATTTCATATCTTGAAAATCTAAACCCTTGTGAAGTGGGTCCCATCTCAGGAGTTCCAATCTTACATATGGAGAGAAGACCAGTGGAAGACTTAACGAAATATAAGCATCATTATAGCTTGACGAATACTCCCTTTTCCATTCTTCCATTCTCTTTTTGACCAGGGATAATTGACTATATTCCTCGGAAGCATCACTGAAAATCTCATCAGCAGCCTGCAGCACTAAATCACGTTGTGACTGATATGCTTGGCTCTCACTATCACTCTCATCGGTGCTTGATTCACCCTCTACTTTATGATCATCTATTTCCATGGATGCCAGCTTTTTAGAATCAAAAGCTTTAGACCTCCTGCGTTGACAAGCCTTGGCCATCACTATCATTTTCATCCGTTTCTCGCGATTTAAATCTCTACCAAACTCATCTAACTTTACTGGTAAATCTCTTTGTTTTCTCACAGCAGCAAATGCATCCTGAGCTGCACTTCTGGCAGCCTCCACGTTGTCGCCTTTCCGGCTTAAAACTGACATTGCAGCTTTCACAGCTGCTTCTACCTCAATCATTTCATCGTCATTGTTAGTGGCTCTTTTTTCAAAAATGGCTGATGCTCGATCTTCGTGAAGTTTTTTCATCTGATCTTCAAGTTCTTCGATGTAGAAAGCTTTATGCTGAAAGTTAAAGTTAGATATAATCCTTAGTATTAGCTTCAATAAATTATACCCCACAGCATCAACAAAAATGATAAGCAGGCAAATGAGTTCCAAGTTTTAAATATAGTGAGAAATTACATACTTTTCAACTTTATTAGAAGCAAAAGTTGTTTCAAGTATTACCTTCGTTCCTTTTTAAGTGTCATTTAAAGATTATTTATACATACCAACAAAATCATTAAATTTGGTTGTTTTTGATGAAATTGTTTGCTTTTTCTGTGATACCCCTTGACTGTCATTACCTCATTTCACTTATTCCACCCCCCCCCCCCCCCCTCTCTCTTTCTCTAATAAATAGGTAAGGACATTTTTTACAAAATAATGGTTAACGTCCTTTAGAGCTTGGCAAATGGTTGATAGATAAGGGTCTCTTCCAGTTTAACCAGAGGTCCTAGGTTTGAACGCAGCTCTGGGCATGCAGCAGGGTTAAATCTCTTGAGGGAGAGCTTTGCCACCTATTATGGAGCTTTGCTATGTATAGTCGGTCCCAAACCTGGATAAAAGGAGAGGGTTGTGTAAGGCAGTCGACAGCCAACGTAAAACTTTGTCGAATCTCAATGACATGGATCAACTACGTATAATGTGAATGTTAGGTCGTTGTGTTCTAGATAGAACATTAAGGCGAAAGTTGATCCATGTTTATGGCAAAAGTTGATCTATGTAGCCGACCCCACTTAGTGGGATAAGGCTTGGTTGTGTTTGTTGTATAGCGAATAGCTTATAAGTTCATACGCTATTTGGTAATGGTTATTGTCCGACGAGCTTATAGTATTTTGGAGATGTTCCTTGAAGTGTTTGAGATTAAGAACTTATCATTTTTCTCTTTCATTTTTACCCTCGTTAAAAGTATCTTTTTGTCATTCTATATTTTTCTGCAAGTTCAACTATTCATTTTTACCAAAACACTAAACTAATTCAGCTAGCTTATCTGCTATCCGCTAACTTTTACCAAAGAGAACCTAAACCTCTCAAACCATAGGTCCATCTAGGGAATTCACACTTAAAATCCTCATTTTACATTCCTCCATCAGCAACCTAAAAAAGGAAAACCCATAATACATTGAATAAAGAGTAGCCACTTACTTAGCAAGGATTAAAATTTGTGGCCTGCGCTAGGTTCTAAAGAGAAAGAAAAAATAGCACATTTGCTGGATGAATTCAAATATCAACATAAACAATATTAAAATGATAAGAAACCTGCTGACTTGCAAAAAAGTCATATAGAACATCCACACAACATTGTGGGTTTTTATTCTAGGAATTAAGATGAAATGGAGTCCTTACAAAATGAACGTGGCAATGAAGAGGAAACCATTAATGTGATAAGCCCTGCTGAGAAGGAACCCTGTTGTTTCCTGACTCAGACCTCTCTCCCAACCAACAGGTTCTAACAGAATACATGCATGATTCCACCCACATCCCCTAATCATTATGTTTCTAACTAACTGATGAGCTAGCAGACGCTATAACTCAACAGTATCCTTCTTTTTCCGCTCATACACTCTCCAAACTTTGGGCCTATTCTAATTAAAGCACGCTAAAACATTTCCATCAGACCCCACAGCAGGGTGTATGTCCAACACCCCATCAGTATCCTCTCTCCCTTACCTTCATGACACATCTCTCTCCTGTTTAATTTGCTTCTTTCTCTTCACATAATCTGCCAGTAATAGGCCTGTTATTCTTCCTCCTACTTTACCTCTCTTTATTAGGCCTATTAGATTGCAATTTTTGACAACTATGCACCAAGATAAACCACTTTGTGGTTAACTTGTCAACCAAGTAGTAATCTCATGATAAGACAATGAGAAGTAATTTCCCATTCCATTCTACATAGTCAAGAATGTTGTTTTCATGTTCTTATTTGCCTTGATTTTTTACATGATTAATTTGTCAAAATACCTACATCTGCCTACCATTTAGGACAACAAATTCACCACACACAAAAGGCAACATCAATCCTCCTTATAACCACATCAGAAAACCACTACCTTGTACTTTACAAATTTGTTTAACTGCCCCCTTCATAAGTATATATTTCACAAATGCCTACCTGCCTGTCTTAAATTTACTAGAGAAGAAAGAAATATACACAAAGACAAGCAAGTGTTAACAGAAAACAGATGAAAGGACTTGAGCCAAAGAAATGTTAACATAGTATATCTCCCCAAAGCATTTTCACCACCATAAAAATCAATACAGCTACATCATTAACTCATTAGTAAAACATAGAAGGATGAATATAAGAACGAAAATAAACAAAACTACTGAAATCACGTGAGGGGAAAAATACTTCAACAAATAACATTGTACAGCTCGAACGCACTTTTATTTAATTAAGGAAGAAAAGAAACTTGGAAGATGCAAGAAATATGGTTACCTGTAAGAAATCGCATATATTTGAGACATAATTTCGGAGCTTTTGCATAAATTTGTACTTCTCATCAGCTACCACTAATGAGTTTTCAAGATCAGTAATCTTCAAAAGGGATGCAGACAAGTTTTCATCTGTTTGGTTCAATGATGACATTGTCCTTCCATGTGATTCCTGTCATTTGTGGGGGCGCACAAAAATGCAATTAAGGAAATAGATCAATCCCCAAGAGAACGCTATATACATTTCATGCAAAAGCAAGTCCCATTTCCAAGGCAATTATCATGGTTGTTTTGTGTGAAAATATGCAATTACCTATTTACCTATCTATACTATCTCCACAACTATTGTCATTCTTTTCTTTCAACTCTCATAATTTTACAACCCTATGGATCATGAATAGAGTGTTTGTGGGCACTCTCTTATCATATGTAATCAGTGCATTAAATTGCAGACTGCATCACACGTGATACAGTTTCAGCATCTAGGTTGCAATGCTCGCTACAATCACATCATGCCTTGAGTGCAAACCCATTGACAATCAACCAGACAAACCAACTAACCCATAATAGCCACAATTCAAACATGACAGCAACTGTAACTTAAAACCCTAAACCTAATCATCAATAGGATTCATATGACCAATTGCCAGAACCCTCGACCTCAACTAGGAAAATTTGATCCTTCTGACCAAGAAAACATCATTCTTTTGATGCCAAAGTTACTCATATGATACACTTAATGACTCACTAACTTTTAACTCCATTTACTTTAATCAATAACACTGAGATCATAATTCATAATAAAAAAAATAGAATGTTAATATGTGTAGACACCTAGTGCACAAGATAAGCACAGTTATTAATCTGACAAGTGAGAGCTCAGCCTAATACACAGTCAGTATAATACAATGACATAAGCAATTCATACCTTAAGCCTCCTAACATTGTCTAGCAAAGCTTTTTTCGCAATCTCGGCTTGTTGAGATATAGGGATGACATCCAAAGCCGGTGTTGCTGGGATTGCTCCTCCAATGCTGGTATTCGCATATGCTGCTACATTTGGAACTGCACCATACACAGTTGCAGCAGAGGGACCAACAAAATTGGGCTGTTGAGCAACTTGCACAGCAGGAACATCACCACCACCAGCCACCCTAGAAGGCCCTTCATCCATTCTCTTTCCCAATCCTTTCCTGAACTGCTCTTCTTCCCACATCCTCTCCTCTTCATCCTCCTCCTCCACCTCCACCACAACATCCCCTACACCTTTAAACCTCTCATCAACACCCCTCTCATCCACATCCTCAAAAACACCCTTCTTCCCTTCCTCTCCCTTCTCCCCAAACATGGCAATCCGACCCCTAAACTCCGGTTCCTCATCACTCAATCCCTCCGCAGCGCCATGATTGCTTCCACCATCCAATGAGATATAATCCGGCGCAGGGGGACGCGCCTGCCGGAGACGCTCCCGCTTTGCTCTAATAGCTTTAATGGTCTCTTCATCAGGAATAAGCGCGTCTTTCACGTTTTGAATGCCAACAGAAGCGAATTTAGCCTCAACCTCTTCCCTATCCTCGGAATCCGATTCACGTTCCGAAGTGACTGGTTTGAGGAGACCTTTTAAGACGATGACAGGTTCAGAGGAGGGTTTAGCATCGGAATTAGTAGAAATAGGACGAGAGGAGGTAGTGGGAGTAACTAGGGTTCGGGTATTTTTCTGAAGTTCGCGAAGTGCTTCTTTGGTGTATGTTCCGGCTTGTGGTTGAACATTGGAAGGAGAAGGGGAATGTGAAATTCGGTCTTTGTGAGTGGTGATTTTGTGAGAGGAAGATTTCGAGACGCGGTGGTGGGGTTTGGAGGAGCGTGGGCGGAGGGTTTCGTTGGTGTCGTTTTCTTCGTCGTCGGCAAAGCTGAGAAGTTTGGGGACTTGGGGCTTCTTAGGCTTTGGGGCGGGGGGTTTAGAAGGGAGGGTGGTGGGAGTGGAAGAGAGGTCATCGTCGTCGTTGGTGTCGGCACGGCGGCGAAAATTGCGGGATTTGGCGGTGGACATGGTGTCGGAATAGCACGGCGTAAGTTTGAAGTACGCAAAGGAAAGAGCAATATAGGGGTTAAAGAAAAAGTTATATGAATTCAAAAATATATATACATTTATTTAACCTAAATGAATATGCGTTAACAGTCATATCAATTAAATTCAGAATTTATTTATATTTAATTATTAATTTTTAGACCAAACAAACAGATTTAAAAAATTAATATTTTATTGCTTAAATATTTGTTGACATGCAACTAATCAAATCACATTAAAACAAAATTATATTGAAATATCTTTTAAATTAATTTGAAAAATAATACTTTAAAATGATTTTATTAGACTTACATGTAAAAAATTACACCGCTAATAAAAAGATATTTATCTTTAAATTTAATTACTTAAATCCTCCGGAATTAATATAGTTTATTAAATAAATAAGAAATGATGATTTTATATATTAAAAATATCTTCTTTGTGATCATATTTTTAAAATCAACTTAAAAAAACTTATAAATATTTATTTGATATAATTTAATTTTTGTATATATTATATAAAAAATTTATAAACTCTAATGTGTGACTCTTTTACGATTTGCTTGTAAATTTTGCAGCTCAAAATATCACTCTAACACATATAAGTAGCTTTTGAGTTTGACTTTTTATTTTTTAATGGTAGCATAAACCCTAAACCCAAGTACATGCATTTGCTGATAGCTTGGAATTGTTTCTGGTGACATGTACTGATGATCTTCCATAATTTCATTAAGCTATAAAAAACATAAGCATTTATTTAATAAGAGCTTATAATATAAGCACTTAATGAATATAAAAAATAAAAAATAAAAATTTAAGCAGCTTACCCATCAAAATTGATGCATAAATGTTGTAAAACTAGAGATTCTACCTTTTAATTTGGTGTTTGCAGAGTAGTATATTTCAATTGTTGTAGCTAAATCATATCTACAATACTTAGCACTTTCTATAATCTTCTTCCTTTCTTTACATAGATTTACTATTGGTGATTCATGCAACTTTGAGTACAATCTATCCTACAATGAACACAGCTTTGAAATAAATACAAATTAGAGTAAAACCTAGTAGAGATGAATACCTCTATTTGTTGAAATAAAATAGATACTTAAACTTATTTTCTTTGTTCTTCTTCTATTCCTCCACTTTATTCTTCTTCTCTTTTTCATCTCTAATGCTTGCGAATTTGGATTTCAATGAAAGATAGAGAGGGGTAATGGTTTAAGGTAACTCCGACATATAAAAAAAGTTTGAAATGATTGTATATTAGGAATTAAAAGGGAAAGCAATGTATATTGGGAATAAGGTGGAAAATATGTGGTAGTTTTGGAAAAATCTGTAAGTCAAAAAAAGGGAGAAAATTTTTGGTAAATGATATGGAATACATATCACTCCACTTTGTTTTTGCTCAATATGATTTTAACTAATCCAAAGAATGAAATTTTATTTTATTTCATCTCATACCACTCTATTCAATCAATCTAAACAAAGTTTATATCCTAATACGTGCTACTTAAATTTTCTCGACAACATTAAACCAAAAGAAAACCTTTTCATACACCAAAACAAAGAATAACGTCATATACTTAATTATTGGAATACTTTTCAACAAATCAGAGTGGCGCAGCGGAAGTGTGTTAGGCCCATAACACACAGGTCCCTGGATTGAAACCAGACTCTGATAAAAATCAATTTTACTTTAGATTTTCTCTTATTTATTTGATTGCAAACATCTTTTTTCAAAAATTCCGCTTCCTTGATATTTTCTTAATTTCATCGCCCTTTATCGTGTCGAAATAGAATTAATTATATATATTTTTTACTAAATCACCCGTAGAACATTTATTGTAAAATGAGAAAAGGCTAAATATTAGAAAGAAAATAGATCCTGATGTGTTTTATATAAGGACAAAAAAATGCACAACGGAAGGGAGAGACATTTTAGCCTTAATTTTGGTGACTCCAACAAACCCTATCTGTCACTTTTAGTCTTTCATCATACTTCATCGTCACCAATATCATACTTTGATTGAGCAACTTCAAATACCAACAAAGGAACACAGAGGACCCAACTCCATCGTCACAAAGTTTTGGGTAGATGATGTTGCAATGCCTCGATACCTCAATGGTCATCGTCAATAATCACAATTCCATCCACATAAGCCATAAAAAATATATTTTTTAAGGACGAGCACTCAAGAATTATTGAGCGATCTTATTCATAAAAGATCATCCCAGGACGATGTAGACCTCTTCTGAGGTGACGAAACCATGCCCGACGTGACTGTTCCATGCCCTATAAGGACGCTTCCAACTTGCATACCAACCTATGCCCCCTGAGAAACAAACCTAAAAGATTACTCCTTATAAATCTATTCTTCTAAGTCATAGTGCAAAAAATCCTTCTTGATATCAAACTGAAATAATGGTCACTATTACATGGTAGCCATAGTTCTAAGAGGCTAGCAAATTTCATTTTTGCAATAGGTGAAAAGGTATCATTACAATTCTGACCATAGATCTAGGTTTAACATCCTGCAACTAATCAAGCCTTTAATTGATTAACATGTTTGTTAGGTTCTAATTTGACATTTAACACCCGCCTAGAATCAAAAATAAAATTTTCAAGAGAATGTGGAAGAAACTCTAAAGTATGTTTAGATTTTAAAGCCATCATCCCATCAATCATGGCATGTTTCCTTATTGAATGAGATAATTCTTTGGATTAGGATGATTTTATTAGGTGTCAATTGCATTGGCGCATGCTTTTCACTGTCCATGGAGAATAAAAATATCACATGACTGTCAATAAGATTGGCGGTTGTGTTAAAAAAAGATAGAGAGGGGTAATGGTTTAAGGTAACTCCGACATATAAAAAAAGTTTGAAATGATTGTATATTGGGAATTAAAAGGGAAAGCAATGTATATTGGGAATAAGGGGGAAAATATGTGGTAGTTTTGGAAAAATCTGTAAGTCAAAAAAAGGGAGAAAAATTTTGGTAAATGATATGGAATACATATCACTCCATTTTGCTTTTGCTCAATATGATTTTAACTAATCCAAAGAATGAAATTTTATTTTATTTCATCTCATACCACTCTATTCAATCAATCTAAACAAAGTTTATATCTTAATACGTGCTACTTAAATTTTCTCGACAACATTAAACCAAAAGAAAACCTTTTCATACACCAAAACAAAGAATAACGTCATATACTTAATTATTGGAATACTTCTCAACAAATCAGAGTGGCGTAGCGGAAGTGTGGTGGGCCCATAACCCACAGGTCCCTGGATCGAAACCAGGCTCTGATAAAAATCAATTTTACTTTAGATTTTCTCTTTTTTATTTGATTGCAAACATCTTTTTTCAAAAATTCCGCTTCCTTGATATTTTCTTAATTTCATCGCCCTTTATCGTGTCGAAATAGAATTAATTATATATATTTTTTACTAAATCACCCGTAGAACATTTATTGTAAAATGAGAAAAGGCTAAATATTAGAAAGAAAATATATCATGATGTGTTCTATATAAGGACAAAAATATGCACAACGGAAGGGAGAGACATTTTAGCCTTAATTTTGGTGGCTCCAACAAACCCTATCTGTCATTTTTAGTCTTTCATCATACTTCATCGTCACCAATATCATACTTTGATTGAGCAACTTCAAATACCAACAAAGGAACATAGAGGACCCAAGTCCATCGTCACAAAGTTTTGGGTAGATGATGTTACAATGCCTCGATACCTCAATGGTCATCGTCAACAATCACAATTCCATCCACATAAGGCATAAAAAATATATATTTTAAGGACGAGCACTCAAGAATTATTGAGCGATCTTATTCATAAAAGATCATCCCAGGACGATGTAGACCTCTTCTGAATTGACGAAACCATGTCCGACGTGACTGTTCCATGCCCTATAAGGACGCTTCCAACTTGCATACCAACCTATGCCCCCTGAGAAACAAACCTAAAAGATTACTCCTTATAAATCTATTCTTCAAAGTCATAGTGCAAAAAATCCTTCTTAATATCAAACAGAAATAATGGTCACTATTACATGGTAGCCATAGTTCTAAGAGGCTAGCAAATTTCATTTTTGCAATACGTGAAAAGGTATCATTACAATTCTGACCATAGATCTAGGTTTAACATCCTGCAACTAATCAAGCCTTTAATTGATCAACATGTTTGTTAGGTTCTAATTTGACATTTAACACCCGCCTAGAATCAAAAATAAAATTTTCAAGAGAATGTGGAAGAAACTCTAAAGTATGTTTATATTTTAAAGCCATCATCCCATCAATCATGGCATGTTTCCTTATTGAATGAGATAATTCTTTGGATTAGGATGATTTTATTAGGTGTCAATTGCATTGGCGCATGCTTTTCACTGTCCATGGAGAATAAAAATATCACATGACTGTCAATAAGATTGGCGGTTGTGTTAAAAAAAGATAGAGAGGGGTAATGGTTTAAGGTAACTCCGACATATAAAAAAAGTTTGAAATGATTGTATATTGGGAATTAAAAGGGAAAGCAATGTATATTGGGAATAAGGTGGAAAATATGTGGTAGTTTTGGAAAAATCTGTAAGTCAAAAAAAGGGAGAAAAATTTTGGTAAATGATATGGAATACATATCACTCCATTTTGCTTTTGCTCAATATGATTTTAACTAATCCAAAGAATGAAATTTTATTTTATTTCATCTCATACCACTCTATTCAATCAATCTAAACAAAGTTTATATCCTAATACGTGCTACTTAAATTTTCTCGACAACATTAAACCAAAAGAAAACCTTTTCATACACCAAAACAAAGAATAACGTCATATACTTAATTATTGGAATACTTCTCAACAAATCAAAGTGGCGCAGTGGAAGCGTGGTGTGCCCATAACCCACAGGTCCCTGGATCGAAACCAAGTTCTGATAAAAATCAATTTTAATTTAGATTTTCTCTTTTTTAT